GCTTTCTCTCCCAGTGAGATAGATAAAACCAGTTACTCTTGATTAATATTAAATGGAAAGATTTATACTGGATAACAAAAATTACTCCTTCTTTACTAAGCATGTTCGGTCAAGATGGCTAGATATTAGCTTGGGTTTTGTTATTGCTGTTGCTGTTGCTGTTTTTTATAGCGTTTTTATGGACTATCATAAACATTTTTGCGTTTTTATAGACCATCATGAACATCATGACTGTGGCAACCGATTAAGGGATCAATGCATTCCATATGAATGCCTTTGTAGGTCTTTTTACAATGCACGAGTCGTCAGTAAAGCGATCCACGTATTTGAGAAAGGATTTCTTGGATCGCCATTGGGTAAACATTGCGAGTTGCCGCAAGGAAATAGACGGCGAGAGGCTATTTCAAAGTCCAGAGAGATAATACATGTTTTACCGCCCCTCCCCCCGCCCCCGCTTTTTCCGAAATGGATTAAGACAATATCTATACGAGAGTAAAGTGTGACCTCAAAAAATTCAAAGTGAGAAATGATTCTGCCGGTTCCTGTAGAACACGGTTTCCGCACATTAATATACTTATCATTTTTTAAATGTTTTATTATCTCCTTGTTGCTTAGTGGCCACCAAATCCTTGCCTGAGGCAATTACGCACCAAAGCCACAGAGAATTCCTTGAAAATCTGAGAAAAATGTATGAAAAAGTCCCAGTTAAGTCTTTTGCTCTCGAGAGGCTGTGAGAATCACGGTCAAGCAATAATTGGAAAATGCTAAAGAGATCATTTGCTAATATTGCTTAGTTCGTGGTCTACTGTTCACTGTATCTTACTTGAATTACCCTGACTTCTGAAGAAAAGATATATTTGTAAAAACTCATCTTTAAATTCAGTTTTTCTCAAAAAAAGAAATCATCAAAATGATAGATATACTTATACTGTTGGTTTTGTAACGTGATATTAACTCAGTTCTTGTCGCAGGAACTTACCATACCGTAGATGTTATCAAGTAATTGTCACTTTCGTGCACGGTCCTACTTACTTATTCAATCTGCCGTGGTTGACCAACCCTCTGCTGCTATTTCTGTTATAGGAAATTGTTATTGTCGCCAGGTTTGGCTTGCGTGTTCTTTGATTAGATATTTTCACGAGAGCAGGCTTGGCGTGTGTGTTCTTTGATTAGATACATTTACGAGGTTTTACCCGGTTAGTTCAGTTCTACTCGACATTGGGCCATAGTTTCTCTCTACACTGTTACTCATCTATTCTATCAAGTCAAATTCAGTGCGTGTGCAAACCAAGTAAATAATCGATTCCTTGTTTTCGGGCTTAGTTCCTGGGCTTTTTCTATTGTTATTCG